TACCAAGAAGTTCTTACCTGTGAGCGTGGTGAGGCCCTGGCACATGTTGCCCAGAGAAGCTGTGGCTGCCCCATCCCTGGCAGTGTTCAAGGCCAGGCTGGATGGGGCTTTGAGCAACCTGGTCTAGTGGAAGGTGTCCCTGCCCATGGCAGGGGGTTGAAACTGGATGAGCTTAAGGTCCTTTCCAACCCAAAACATTCTATGGTTCTGTGATTCCCCTCCCAAGGAGAGAATTCTTTGGTCAGTGTTTTAATTGGTCTCCTGACCAGCATTGCTGTAATTTCTCATTCCTTGGTGAGAAACCTGGGAAATGCCAGCACTGTCACTTCTGTGAGCATCTGCAAGTGCATTTAAGTCTGCTGTTGACTTTGCTCTTCTGTATTGCAAATGCTGTGTTGGGATCTGGCAGTGAGACTTAACACTATGAAGTAACAGCTATGAGCAAAACTGTACGTATGTATTTTACACACTACCTATAGTAAATCTTGTTTTAAAAGTGTTACTGTAATGTACAATTAATAAAACTGACATTATCTAATTACTTGCAAGCTTTGAAAGTGCTACAAAACCCTTAATCACAAGTGGATCATGACTTATTACTGTAACTACACCTAAATATCTAAACATGAAGAGTTCCTATTTAAATGAGCTACAATAGCACACATTTATTAGTGCACAGTCATTAGCCAATAGGAGCCGTGTCTCTGACAGGGAAGGACATGAGTGTCTGTGGAAGTGAGCTGAAAAGAAAGTTTCATAAATGTTGTGTTGATCTTACCTCCAGCTGTCTAGAAACAATATTCTCAGATTCTTCACATTTGTCTGGCTTTGTAATATTCTAAACAAGCTGCAAATTTTGGGCAAGTAGAGCATTATTTTCAGGGCTTGTTTAATGCAAGTGCAGAGAATTGCCTGACCTTGCCATAGCTCATCCAGGCGGTTCATTCTTACCCACCCATCTTTCAACTTTCATCTGCAATGTGCTTGTTGGGACCATTACCTTGTCATCAGTATTTAAAGGATGGCTACAAAGAAGACAGAGACTCCCTATTTACAAGGAGTCCCATGGAAAAGATGAAGGGTGATGGGCGTAAATTACTCCCAGGGAGATTCTGGTTGGACCCAAGAGGCAAATGTTTCACAATGAGAAGAAAAGGCCACTGGAATAATCTCCCCATGGAAGTGGTGGATTCCCCAACTTTGGACAATGTTAAGATTCAGCTGGACATGGTGCTGGGCCGTCTAGTTTAGGTCACACTTTATCTAGAAGAGTTGGGCCAGGTGATCCTTGATCTCCTTCCCAACCTGGAGTTCTAGGATTCTGTAATCAGCAGAGCAGTATCACAAGTCACAAAAATGCTAAAACTTGAATGGAGCATCGGCCCACTTTGAGCCTGTGGAGGATCTTTGGAGATTGAAAACAAAAGTTTGGCCATAACTCCTCCTTCTGGAGCAGAGACAGGGTTTAAGCTGGGTTGCCCATTTTTCCCACATCATCTAACTCCTGGACAAAGAGATCATCAGCATCTCTTTTGTTTTTTAAATTGGTTTCAGTCGTGATGCTTTTTGTGAGTTTGATGGGGATTTTTTTGTTTGGTTGGTTTTTTGGTTTTGGGGGTTGTTTTGTTTGGTTGGTTTTTGTGTTGGGTTTTGTGATGTTTTGTTTTCAGTAGGAAAAAAGGCAGTTACTTGGTCTTGGTAGTACTGTTTTCAACAGTTTGAAATGAAAATTTTCCGGACTTTACTCTGAAGCAGGACATTGTCTTGGCATCTCAAACAGTCTGATAGATTTATAAAAGAATTCATGCAGCTCCCCTGATGGTGACATCTTTGAGCACCTTGGGCATGTGAAGAGTTGAAGTTTGGCTGTCAACCCCTCAGACAGCATGCCTGACATAAAAATGAAAAGCAGCCTTCAACTGAATCCCTTTTAATTGTGCTTAACTGGAAGAAATCTATGCAGGGCCTGAGAACTGGTGTGCGACAGCCATTTCAGGAACAGAGTGTTCTTCAGCTCCTGTGTAACACAGTCTGTGAGGGAGTCACGGGAAGCATCACTCATCTGCAAGAGGCCACTTGAGTTGAAACCTCTCACTGCTCAGCTGGACCTGTCTGAAGTGCAGTGTACATCTGGCACAAGTCAGCAAGATGTGTTAGGAACCAGTGATCATAAAACACGTCTAGGGGGTTGTAAACTACAACTACAGAACAATTTGTTTTGAGAGGGGAATGCCACGTTTCTTCCCCCTTGAAGCGTCTTGCCCTTGACTGTATTATGTTATGGTGATTTACTCATGGAAGGGTCGTGTCTCCTTTTTGTTTTATTCTGTCAGTGAGGAGGTCTATCTACTCCCTGCCTCATGGCGTTTGTTTAGTAATCCATCTCATAAAACCCACCATGGTGATTCTCTCTGTCGTGTGTGGTTTGAATACCCATGCTGATTGCTTGAGGGGAAAGGAGATGTGTGCACACAAAAAAATAAAACTTGCAGAGAAGGAATTTTCTCTTGCTGAATCCTCAGCTGCTGGAATACCGTCTTTTGCAGGAGACACTGACATAATTACTTAAAACAGACCAAGAGGAGAACAAAGCTGACACACATTAAACTAACTGAAGTTGACACCAGCTGACTTGCGAATGTAGACTGAAGATTGTGACAGCCAGTGTGTCTGGTCTGGAACTAAGGGCAAAAGCTGCTCATCTGCCTAGGACACTGGGAAATGGGTTCTTTTCCTCTCTGGCTTGTAACTTGGTTAAAATACTGGCTCATCAGACAGTTTATGCTGGTGTACTGTTCTTGGAGAGCTTACACAAGGCTTCCTGGGTCTGCTGCTGACTTAATTGATCTGGAGCTTAGCCATTCTTCCTGACTCAGGTTAACTGTGTGTGTCCCTAAGGTCAGAAACAGATGTGTCCTTCTTGAGAGGAGGAGACATGTTCTCCATGCAACAGTTGTAATCTAAACTTTTGAGTTCAGTTTTTCTGGAGCAGTGTGAGCAACGAAGTTTTACTGTTGGGCAGAAATTCTGATTATGAAGGTGGTTGCCCCTGGCAAATAGTCTTGATAGCAGCTTTCCCTTGGAAGCTCAGTGATGGTGTCAGATGCATCTTCATCTTGTTTCTTAAATAATCTTACTCTGCACCATGTCTTCCCCCTGTGTGGTGACCCTGGCCTCATATTTCTCTCCTGCCAGATTCCTTCAGCATGCACAGAGGGGACAATCTGCCTGACTTATCATTTGCTACTGACATGAAGAATGTGCCGCTGTTCACTGACCATGTTGACACTTCCAGAGGCATCCATGGTGAGTTCCTCCTCTGCTTTTGTCGCAGATGGATAGCTTTTGGTGCTTTCTCTGTTGATTTTTGTGTAATGAAAAGTAATAAGCTGATAAGTTCACAAGGCATATAATGAGGGTTTTGTGTGCCTAGTCATTCAGTATCTCCTTCCAGAAAGTGGTTATTTTTTTTGTTTTGTTTGTTTGGTTGTTGTTTTTCTGGTTTGGTTTGTTTTTGTTTTTGTTTTTGTTTTTGTTTTTGGGTGAGAAGGATTCAGTTTATTTAGGCAGAAGGAAATAAGACAACTAGACAAGATGGAAACATAAAATCACAGAATGGTTTGGGTTGGAAGGAATCTTAAAGCCCATCCAGTTCCAACCCCCTGCCAGGGTCAGGGACACCTACCACCAGACCAGGTTGCTCCAAGCCCTGTCCAACCTGGCCTTGAACACTGTCAGGGATGGGGCAGCCACAGCTTTTATGGGCAACCTGTGCCAGGGCCTCACCACCCTCACAGAGAGAACTTCTTCCTCAGATCCCATCTCAATCTCCCCTCTGTCAGTTGAAAGCCATTTCCCCTTGTCCTATTCCTACAGACCCTTGTCCAAAGCCCCTCTCCAGATTTCTCGTGGGCCCCTTTAGGCACTGGAAGCTGCTCTAAGGTGTCCCTGGAGCCTTCTCCAGGCTGAACAAGCCCAGCTCTCTCAGCCAGTCTGTAGCAGAGCTGTTCCAGTGCTCGATGCATTTTCATTGTTGAAGTTGAGTTTACTGATACCTTTTGTCTTCATGGCTAGAAATTAAATACACTGGATATTTTTCTACTAAGTGGTCCTCATTTTTGTGACTATTGGGGTTCAAGTGATTATTAACAAGAATTCATAGAAGCAGAAAGCAGAAGTGCAGTGATTTGCCTGTGCTTACTGTCTTATGCCTTGTTACAGTTATATATAGAGACATAATTTGCAACATGGTTTCTAAAGGTGAGCTGAGAGAGTTTACAAACTATCTGAACTGCTTGTGAGCAGAACAGAATAGTTTATTTTCCAAGTGTTGTACAGACTTTAAATTTTGGAGGGGAGTCATTAGGGCTGGTGTGATGATTAACAGCTGGCCTTTTATTTCATTAGCACCACATGAATCTATGATGGTACCTGAACAACCTTTCTTGGGGGCCCTGTATTCACCTGCAGAGGCTCTAGACCAGTCAGCCTTCATTGACTTGGATTCAACAGCAGAATTTCTGCAAGACAAAGAAGGCAAGAAACAGATGTTTTGTTTTTACTGTGTGTCTAGCTAGCTGGATTTGAAGGGCATGCAGCTGGAAAATCTTAGTTTACTAGTCCGAAAGAGTCTTGGTGGGGGAGTTGATACGTAAAATGAGTCAAGATTAGACACTCCTGTATTGGTAATGATGGCTCTTAGTTGTTTGGGAATGTTCTGAATGTTGGGAGATCACAGACTGGTTGAGGTTGAAATGAGACCTCTGAGGGTCATCTTGTCGGACCTCACCTCAGGCAGGGCCACTCAGAGCCAGTTGTCCAGAATAACTGAGGAAAGAACCTGCTCTGTGAGGTCTTGGTGGTTCTGACTGGGCCAGTGGTGGTTCTGCCTCTTCTCTGATGCAAGCTTTCACCAGCAATAGTCACAGAAGAACATGATGTTCTGTTACCATTCTTAAAGGGAGCTGGAAAGCTACCTGAGAATGAACTCACAAAACAGCGGTACCTTCAACTGAAAAAATTAAGCAGTGTCAGTGGCAGGACTAAATGTGTTTGCTTTCCACAGTGCCTGAAGAACACTGGATGGGAGTTCAGAGTGATGTGGAGGGACCAGATGCCTCTTTCTTTGTTGAGACACCAGGTAAAAGTAAAAAAATGACTTGATCTGCAGGAACTGTCCATAGAGAGTTTCTGAACAGCAGAAGCAGAGCTTCTCTCTTTGTCTGCCTTTTCAAGAAACACCAGGTTCTAGTGGAGTGAAGCAGGACCTTGTTTCTGGATCTCAAATCAATATAGAATAAATATGCATGTTTTGGAGAAATGTGACTTAAAAGCATTTTCTGGTTTAGTGCTGTGAGGGATAGGAGAACTCTTCATTGTGTAGGTTGTTTACTTCTAATTTAGAATAACAAATTTAATATATGCAGTTCCAAGCCCAATTGTGGGTAGATACTAGTGACATGCCCTTTCACAGGGTATATCATGTAGCAGGGCTTTAACGTGCTGAAAGCCTGCCCTTTTCATTGGTTTTGGGGAATTAAGTTAGCAGATGTAGAAGTGTGAAAAGCAATACATTCAGCAGAAAGCTCTGCAGATTCCAGACTGTGTCTCCATTTTGTGCGTCTCCATTACTTTAATTTCCAGTTGGGATGCGTATTCAAGCATTATTTGACAATAAAATAATAAATAGGATTAATAAAATTTGCTCTTGAAAAGAAACTTTTAAAATGGAACTTCACTTCTGTCAAGAATTCTAATTTGTATATGCACTGAGAGTCAAATCTGCTGACCTGAGTGATAAGTCAGAGCACTTGTATTCACTTCTTCAAAGGGTCAGTGCAGCTGAGGACACCAACAGACACTATTTTGGCTAATGCATAATCAACAGACTTTTAAACTAAATCCTAATTGAAAACCTGTATATTAAGTCCAATTATATTGGGGGTAGATTTAGATGGGCTACTAGGGAGAAGTTATTTCTTGTGAATATAACCTGAGGCATTGGCACAGGCTGCCCAGAGAAGCTGTGGCTGCCCCATCCCTGGCAGTGTTCAAAGCCAGGTTGGACGGGGCTTAGAGCAGCCTGGTCTAGTGGAAGGTGTCCCTGCCTGTGGGAGCAGGGTTAGAACTGAATAGTCCTTAAGGTCCCTTCCAACCCAAACCATTCCATGGTTCTGTGCTTCTGGTTGCAGTTAAATCTTTGAAGTTCCACTGTGTCATAATTCCATTGCAGTTGCATGTATATTATGATATTTGATCCATAATGGGATCTTTATTGCTGATTTTGGTGAACAAGTGAAGAAGAGAGTAGTTTGACATTGCTCCTAGGTGGAAATTGTTTCTGGAACTGGTGGCCCTACCTTGGGCACAGAGTAGAACTGGGATGCGTTGCAACTGAATGTTCCTGAACCGTGTTATGGCAGTTTCTTCTCTCAGGATACATGTGTTTTCCTAGTTAATTATCTGAAAATTGAGAACAAAAACTGATACTGTTTTTGTCCAAGCCAACTGGGATGCTGAGGTGGGGGAACTGAATCATTAGGGCTGCTGCTACAGGCAGCGCAGACCTGGCAGCACCCTGGGAGGGTGACTCACGTCCTAGCAACCCCAGAAGAGAAAGCTGCTTGCTAAGATCTTTCCGAGTGCTTAATTAAACTTCATTTTGCATGCCCAGTGCCCCCCACTGTGACAGAAGCAATGAACCAGAATTTCCCGGAAGGCCCTGCAGCAGTGGCTCCTGGTTTCCTTCCTACTGCGGTAACAGCATCCCCAGGAGAGGCCAAAGCTACTGATAGACCAAAAGGTTCATCATCAGGTAACACTGCTCCAGTCTAAACATTGGTGCTAGGTTTAGGCACTTTGTGAGCAAGCTATAGTGGTCAAAGACATTTTGACCACAGTCGGGGTTGCCCCACCTGAAGGAAACATAGCAAGGCATTCACAAATCCTGTTGGGACTGAATGTTTAATCTTCGCCACCCATAACACCTGAAGTGTGTTGGTGAGAAATAGCAAGTGTACTCAGCTTTTCAACTCATGTCTTCTGCACCAGTAACTGTTTTAATGATTCTTTCTCAAAATTTCAGCTCCAGAGAAATGTTAGTGTGTCAAGAATGTGGTTATACCATGAGTCTGGTGCTGTATATAAATACCTTAAAAATGTTTTGAGGAGAGTCTTTAAAACAGGCAGTTTTTAAGTTATTTAAGTACAGCATCAGACTAGTGGTACATTTTGCATCAGTCTTTGTCCAGTTTCTTTATGCTTTATTCCAGTCCTTCCCATGATTCACCAGGGAACATCCATACTATTTTTAATATCTATTACTTCTGTAAAATGACAATTTTTAAATTTTATTTTGGAAAAAATCATTATATCACTTTAAAAAATAAATAAACAAACTCAAATGAGAGCTAGTGCATAATGGATCTTTCTGGTTTTATCTAAATGGATCCTGAACTGCTACTTTAAAAAGCACTTTTCCCATTTTTCTTATTTCTTTCCTTTTTCAGTTTAAGTATCTAATTTAAGATTTAATATCTTTTCCGTTGTTTGGGGAGGATATTTTCAGATATGACTGAATCAATTAGTAGAAATATTTAAAAGTTTTTTGGGTTTCTTTTTTAAGCATCTACTCAGCATAATATCTGAGCTGTTCAGGTCACCATGCTGTATTATACAGAGTATGGGTTGAGCCTGGGGCTATTGAAATGAATAGATGCGGAAGAGAAATCTAATGCTTCTGATAATTTATGAAAACTTGCCTCTAGACAGCTAAAATATTCAAGTAAAATAGTCTGAAAAAACTCATTTAAGGGGATTTTATGAAAATGCTGACTTCAGTGCAGAGGCTTGCATTGTGAACTGACAAATGTTATTCTGAAACTCGTAGCTCAGTGGTCAGTAGACAGTATCTAAAAAGTTAACAAGGCCATATTCCATCGGAATATGCTGCTCCCAGTGGATCTGTCAGTGCCAGTCTCTCAGAGCTACATATCACCAGGTAATTTTTAAATGAAAACAGTGCTTCTGTTGGTTGATATATGTTAGGAGCAGACGGATGTCTAACACTGTAGTCAGGGATACAAAACAAAGCATGTGAGGCTGTAGTAGGAAAAACACTTGGGTGCACTGAGGAGTGTCAAAGACCACTACAACTTGAGTGCACTGATGTAAGGGGGGCAGTAAGTGATGCTGAAAGATGACAGACAGGGAGCAAAATCCCCATCTTCTCTAGTCATAAACCCCCACTGTTAGGTATTTACATTCTGTATTTTTGCATTGATTTCTGATCTGCGTTTCTGCAGCAGATGCAGGGTGTGTTCCTCTCTCAGATGTCATGTTTGTTTTCACTGAAAAGGCTGGGTCTGTTGTTGCAGGAGATGCCAAGCCTCCTCAAGCTCTGGATGCTGGATTTGCACCCACAGTTGAAGCCAACCCTTTTCAGGCTATGGATGTTGGGTTTGCTCCTGCGCCGGAAGTCGAGCCTCCTAATGCTATCAATGCATCTGCTCCAGTGGCAGACACCAGCTTCACCCCAGCAGATGCTATGTCCCATTACACTATGGATTTGGAGTTTGCCCCAGCAGAAGATGCAGGGTTTGCCCCAGCAGAAGATGCAGGGTTTGCCCCAGCAGAAGATGTGGAATCTCACAATGCTATGGATTTGGCATTTGCCCCAGCAGCAGATGTGGAATCTTACCATGCTATGGATGCAGCATTTGCCCCAGCAACAGATGTGGAATCTAACCATGCTGTGAATTTGGCATTTGCCCCAGCAGCAGATACTAAATCTCATCATGCTATGGATTCTGAATTTTCCCCAGGAGCACATGCAGAGTTTGCCCCTGAAGCAGAAATCAACCATCATCATGCTATGGATGCTGGGTTTGCTCCTGTAGCAGACACCAAGCCTCTTCCTGCCAAAGATTCTGGGTTTGCTTCTGCAGAAGCTAAGGCTACTACTGCAACGGACACCACAATTGCTGCTTCTGAAGAGCTGAGGACTTCTGAGTCTTCTCTTGAGCAAGACAAGTCACCTTTCTGCAAGCCTCCTGCAGGTGAGTTTGATTTGGCCTTGAAGTAGCATGGCAAGTGGTGTGAGAGTTTATGGTAACTTGGCGTAGCACTAGCAGCAACACTCCTGATAGCACGTAGTGATGGCTACACGGATGCACAATTGTCATAAGACTGTCAAATAAAACTTTTGGGTTTTTTTTTAACAGTTAAGATTATAATAAAATTCTAGGATAGTTTGGGTTAAAAGGAACCTTAAAAGATTCCTAATTCCAACCCACTGCCACAGGCAGGGACACCTTCCACCAGACCAGGTTGTTCAAAGCCCCATCCAGCCTGGCCTTGAACACTGCCAGGGATGGGGCAGCTGCAGCTTCTCTGGGCAACCTGTGCCAGTGATACTATGATATGACTTGCACAAAACATTGTAAGTAATGCTCAGTTTGGCTGTCAGGATACAGAGAAAGTACTTACGGAGGATTTTTCCCCTCATAAAATATAAGATTATTCTTGATTACTACTTTTTTTTTTTTTTTAAGACTTGGCATTTTTAGCAATGATGTCTGTTTTTCAAGACAGCCATAGTGACATTTTAATTCATCCCTGTCAGTACTTGTTTTGTATCACCGTCATCCTCGGCTGATACTGAAATCTCCACAGATCCTGCAGTGTTTTCCAATAAAGGTTCTTATCTCAGCACCAGTTTCTGAATAGACTGATAGGCTTTTTGGGTAATTTTGTGACATTTACTTGGAATGACTATAGGCATTGAAGTGGCAAGGCAGGCATTTTCATTTTTTCCATGTGGTGGACAATAGATTTGCTGTGCTACTTAGATTTCTCAAAGTGCACCATCGTTTCAGAGAGAAAATGACTTTCAACATGTAGCAAATAGTACTGGGCAGAGGCAGTATATGTGGACTGGTTGCAGGTTGTGTTGGAGTGAGATATTTTCTTTCTTACTTTTCAATATTTGTTGGTTTAATGATAGGAATAACTGTCAAAAGTTGGATGTTTTAACAGAAAACCTTACTAGAATGTAGTAACTGAGAAGCATAGGTGGGTGAATGAAAGAGTAAACACCAGACAATACAGGAAGGATATGCTTTAGCTGAGCACTTCGGCTTTCAGGAGAGGAGATCTGGTAGAAAGCGATCCTGAACAGCACATTTCCACTGTTTTGAAAGTGAGGAAAACCTTTGCTTCTTGGAATATAAGAATTAGGTGAGGAAGTGATTTTTATCTTGTTTAATCTGATCTAAATTAAAAATAAGATGACTTTTTATTCTTAAACGTTTGTTTCCAGAAACAACTGCAAATGCAGAACAAGAATTGAAAGCCCCAGAAGGCCAGGTTGATCTTTCAGAGCAAGCTAAAGTTGGCAAGCCGCCTCCAAGCAACCAGGAAGAGCATCTTCTGGAGCAGACAAACCATGTTTCAGAACCAGCAGGTGAGAAATGCAAACCACAGCATGAAACGCTATAAACTAATTCTGCCCCATTGCCTCTCATGTGAAGACAGGATGAGGGAGCTGAGCTTGTTCAGCCTGGAGAAGAGAAGACTCCAGGGAGACCTTAGAGCAGCTTCCAGTGCCTAAAGGGGATGACAAGAAAGCTGGAAGAGGGGCTTTTGACAAGGGTCTGTAGGAATAGGACAAAGGGGAATGGCTTTAAACTGACAGAGGGGAGATTGATATGAGATCTGAGGATGAAGTTCTTCCCTGTGGGGAGGTGAGGTCCTGACACAGGTTGCCCAGAGAAGCTGTGGCTGCCCCATCCCTGGCAGTGTTCAAGGCCAGGTTGGACGGGGCTTGGAGCCACCTGGTCTGGTGGAAGGTGTCCCTCTCTGGCAGGGGGTTGGAACAGGATGGTCCTTAAGGTCCCTTCCAAGCCAAACCATTCTAGGATTCTGATTCTTTCTCACAGACACTGGTCTCCTGTCCTTGTCAAGTTGAAAAGCAACAAAGCTTTAATTTCACAAAGGTTATTAGTGCGTGCTGACATGGGCAATTAGCATTTGAAATTACCATCATATAACTTTTCCTTTTCTTCCTCATCTGTAGTTGTGCCAATGTCTGTCATAGTTTTTATTTCTGTTTAAAATTTAAGTAATTACATCAATGTAATTATGTTTTACAAATTAAAATTTGTTCTAATTACATGTATCTAGTAATTTGGTAGTGTCTGTATGATTATATGCTAAGGTATATAGGAATGCTAGATGATTAGCATTAGAATTGAACTCCAGAGTGATAACGGAGTATATTCTGGAATTCAGCTCCAGTGGGAAGGTGGTATAGTCTGAATTTGATTGATTACAAGAAGGGGGGGTGGGAAGCCTTACCAGCAAACCCTCACCCTGTGCTTAAGCTGCAAGACGGTCTTTGCTTCATGTTTTACCTCCACCTTGGCATGTCTGCAAAATATGAAATTGCTGCTTGAAATGGCATTGTGAGGAGATAATATGTAGTAGACTATGATATCTTATAAACTTCACTTATGAAAAATAGAGTAAAACCTATACCTTTTCCCAGGGCTTGCTTTTAAACTGCAGGTTGCTGGTATTCCTAAGAACTGAAGCATTCTGTTCTTAATTTTTATATTTCTGTTCCAGTAGAAGCAAAAGAAGCTGTTGCACTAGAAAATAAAGACCTCCTTCCAGAAAAATCTGTTACCGCTGTGGATGTTACTGTTACAGAGAAACAAAAGGAGGAGGCAGAACACAACCATGTCCAACATGCAGAATCTCAGCAAGAAAAAACCCTGCAGGAGCCCACAGGTAGAATATAAATAATAGTTCAGTTTTAGAATGGAAATACTCTCTGTGAACTGTTCACCTTTTCACCTTTTCCTACTGACTGCGTTGCCACCTGAGCAAGCAGAAATCATTTTTTCACGAAGCAGCTGTGTGGTTCTCTGCATTCACTGGGGATCCTGCTTGCACTTTACCTCTTATCTCTGCCCTCTTAAAAACTCTTTTCCCCTCCACGTTCACCAGACTAATAGCCCAAATATTCTGCTGCTGGTACTTTTATCACTGGGACTGGCTTATTTCTGTTCTGCTGTAGAATTTAAAAGCTCACCATCATTTTGCCATTACCACTAGCTTTTTATGTTGGTATTAAAAAGGACCATTAATTCTTATTACAATATTCCCAGTGAAGACCTCCTTCCAAATTGAGTTTCGTAATTATCAAAGGAAATGTAATTTTTTTTTTCCTGGCCCATTAATGCAGCCTTTCCTAGCTGTTACTGCTTACACTTGTGACTGGAGGCTGATTTGTGGGCCAGGGCTAACTGACAAATAACTGATGCTCTCTTTAAAAACAGTGGCCTGTAGCTAAGAAAACCTAGTGTTGCTTATAATGGTGTACAGCAAATGACTTCTGTTACAGAGGTTCTGCCCTCCACTGCTTCCACCCTGGGTACTTTGGGAGACTTGGCACTTTCGCTCCCCCTTCCCCATTATGCCCGTTCTCTCTTCCCTAGTCTCATCTTTCCACTAAACTTCTATTTTCATATTATGGAAGGATGCCAGCTAGAGATATAAAAAGTGTATCTGTTATCTTGTCTTGCTAAGACAAAATGGGTCCTTAATGCATCTTTAAAAAGCAATAGCATGTCCTTACAAGAACTGCTGCTTTTTGGTGGTGTAAGAGCATGTATTGAGAATTATGTATTTTTAAATTGCATTGACGTATTTACTGGTAGCAGTTTAAATAGGTTTTGCGTGTAAATGTCTATCCCAGCCCTACTGAGGTGGCTTTAGAATTAGTGTGGTATCAGTGCTGGAAAATTCTGCATATATGACTGTATGGAGTGTTTTAGCTGGCTAAAATCACATATTGAGTGTATTTAATTTTTTTATAAAGCAAATAGTCTCTTTGATGTTTGAGCAGGCTTCCTGTATTCCAGGTCTTCCTACTGCACAAATAAGGCAAGCTAACAAATCGAGTGAACGCAGGTTTGGCAGAGCAAAACCTGCACCAGTGCCTATTACAGATGTACCAGAGGAACGTCTAATAGGTCTCTCACAACAGAAGAGCACTGACCCAAAAGTAGACCCCTATTCTGTAGTGGAAATTGGATGTGTGGCTGGAACATCCCCTCGCACTAGGGTTTCACATAAAAAGGCAACTGAGCAGCCATCCAGTGTGCTCTCAGAGTTTGTGGAAAGCTGCAGAGATCTACCAAGGGAGAGCTGGGATTTGGAAGGCTCTCTGGCCATTGTGAAGAAAAAGAAAAAGAAACCAAAACAAAAGAGAAACCAGCTGCCAAGAACAATGGAGTTCTGGGATGAAAATGGAACAGTGTCAAAAGCTCCTAGAAATTCTCCATTTGCTGTGGAATTGCAAAAGCCAGATGTCTGTCCCGTAATGCCTGCCGAAGCCCGCACGGAGCAGTCAGTTGCCTCAGGAAACAGAGCTTCAGAGATGCCAAAGCATGCTAAAAAAATAACTGGAAGTCATATCCTGGATGAGCAAAATGCCTTTTTGGTGCCAGCACCAGGACAGAAGGCCCCAAAAACCAATGTGCCGTTAGAATCGGTGTTGGATGCAAAAAATAGAGAGATCATGAAAACAGAAGAAATGAGAGATGACAGTTTGATGTTCCAATCTAAAGGCAAAAGAAAAGAGGTTCTCTTGGAGCAGCTAGGGAAGACTAAGGTGGAGGAATCTGTTACAGCAAAGGGGCCAACCAAGGCCACGGAAAGAGATTTTCTTGATAAAAATGAGGAGTATAGGGAGTTAAAATGCTCTGGCCTGACACCATCTCCTTCAGAAGCACTAAATGTAAGCAAAGTAGAAACTTCTTTGGAGACCAGACCTTCAGAATTGCTTCTTTCTGACAGAAATAAGGAGGCTAAATCCACATCCCCCAGGAATGAGGCATTCAGTGACCCTGTCCATTGTGAGGTTCAGACCTCCAGCAGGTCGCTGGAAGCAGCAGCAAAGAAAAGAGGTACTTGTGAAAAAAGCAAAGGGGTTGAAAACGAACCCTTCAAACAGCCCGCCCTTCCAGAGGCTGTGGGCCTGTTGGAAAAGCTTCCTAGTGAGCCAAAGGCAGCTGATGAAACTAAAACAGTGTCCCCCAGTAAGTGCATGGCTGTTGACTTTTGTACTTCAGAGGGAGATTTGAAGCTCCCAACAGATACTACAGAAATTCTTGTTGCACCATTAGTTGTACCGAACCCCAAGGAAGTTACTGCTTTGCAAAACAGAAAGGCTGATAGTTTTTCAGAGCAGCCATTTATTCTGTCAGCGAAGTCTGATGCAGCCAAACATCCCACCTCCACTGAATCAGTGGAAGGAATGACGGGAGCAAGTTCCCCTGATAAAAACAAAGGGAAAGGATTTATTGCATTAGAGCAGCAGGCTGGAAGAGATCCTGATATTACACGTGGGATGGACAGACCTAAAAAAAAGCGTGGTGAAGGGAAGGTAAAAAAAATCAAAAGCTTCTCTGAGCAGGTGATGTTTTCAGAGGATGTAAGCAGACTAAATGATGGAATGAGGATAGATGAGACTAGAAAAGATACAAGTTACCCTGATAAAGGTAGAGGTTTTGCTGCTGGAGGACATCCATCAGTAAGCATTGCACATTCTTATCCTGCAGACAAGCCCAAAAAAAGAGGTAGTGATGGAAGAAGCAAAAAAGGTGAACGAAGTTTTTTCCAGCAGCCTTTTCTTGAGAGTAAGATGGACCCGAGTAGCTTTCCTGATCTAACGGATAAAACTGAGGAGGTTAGTGTTAGTGATAAAGGCAGAGAGAGGGTCTGGGTTACTGCTGAGTGTTTTCAAGGGAATATATCAGATATAAGTAAAATGCAAAGGCCAATTGAACTGGGAACAGAGGAGCCTAAAGAAAATGTTGGGAATAAGGAAATAGCCAAATTAGGTGCTTTAGACCAACCATTCCTGCTGGAGAGTAGGAGAGTGGAAGCGGAGCATCTTGTTATGGCTGACATGATCAGCAAAACAGAAGAGGTAGATTTGATTAACAAAGGCAAGGAAGCTGGAATAACTTCTGAATCAATGGTAAGGAATACTAATGCACTGCTGGTGGCAGACAAACCTAGAAAGAGGAGCAGTGAGGGGAAAAGGAAAAAACCTGAAAAAAGTCCTTTGAGGCAGGCAGCTCTCCAGGATGCTGGGGTGGAAACAAGCAATTTTCCAAGCAAAGAGAAGGTGGCTGGAAGCACAAAAGAAATCACCTTTGACAAAGATAAGGTGTCCGGTTTTGAAAGAGAACTTGAGCTGGAGAATCTGTCAGGTATAACCAAAGAGGTGTTGGCAAAGCCTGGAATACAGGGTGGTGATAGAAAAAGTTTCTCAAATCAGCCAATTCTTTCAGGTCATAAAATAGAGACACCAGAGCCAGAAACAGTCAACACTAAAGAAACTTGGCCCATGAATAAAGGTAAGGAAGTAGATACAGCTGAACCTCAGCCAGAGTGCATGTCAGATGCAGCTGTGGTGCACAGTCTGACCAGGGGACTGGTGATGGACAAGCCTAAGAAAAAAAGTAGAGATGTGAAAGGCAAAAAGGATGAAAGTAGTCTTGAGCACTCTGTGCTGAGTCCAGGTAACATCCCTGTGGTAGGTGAAGAGTTGGGAAACATTAAAAAAACTCAGCCTTTTGATAAAGGCAAAGAGACTAATTCCAGTGCATTAGCCAGTCTGCTAGGTGACTTGACTGGTACTACTGAAGTACAAGTTCCTACTGTACCTCTGGAGCCAGAAAAATCACACACAAGTAGTAAAGAGAAATGCAAAAAGACAGAGGCTAACTTTCAGCAGCCATTCCTTCTGGGAAGTAAAGCAGGTGCAGAGATGTTTCCTCCTCATGATGTGGGGATAACCGACAAATTTGAAGCAGGAAGTCCCTCTCCTTGCAGCAGTGGTGGGGAGCTGCCTGACCTAGAGCACCCAACAGTGGCAGATCGCACTGTGACTGCAGTTACTGATAGATCTAAAAAGAGGGGTCATGATGGAAGTAGTAAAAAGGCTAAAAATGCCTCTGAACAGCCTGTTCTTCTAGAGACAAAACCAATCAGGAGTGAAGTACAGCCTCCTGTGGGATCTGAGATGGCATATGGAATGGAAGCCATGGATTTTGTAGATGAAAATAGAAATATTAAAAACTTCCCCATTGACCCTCAGATGGTTTGGAATAATAAAGGCAATGACTTGGAATCCTTTGCTCAGACTGCAGGGACTGCCTCTGATACCACTGGCAGTGTTTCTTCTGGCTTCCCAAAGCAGACTGATGAGGGTGCAAGAAGTAAGGGGCTTCCTCCTCTGGAAGCAATAGCAGAGAAAAGCAGCAAAGAGCCTGGACCTGGTGCTAAGGAAGAGATACAGAAATCTTGTGAGCAGCCAATCAATCTGGGGCACAAAGAGCCTGGAAAAGAGGTTTCAAAGAAAGATGGTGCAACCAAGGAGGTTGGTTCCCAGGATGGCAGTGAGGCAGGTAAACCCCTTTCTTTGGATCAGTCAGTTAAACAGGGCATTAAGTCAAAGAAGGACGAAGTTCCCCTTTCTCCTGTGGCACAAGTGGATGATAAAGAAATAACAACCGTTGATAAAAAGCACAACACTGACAACACTTCCTCAGCCCTTCCTCAGCAGATGGAAGATTCAGAAAGTAGACAAGCTCCTGTAAGTGCCAAAGGGGCAGAGAAACTAGAGGTAACCGTCTCTTCTAGAGAGAAGGCTCCAGAACCTGTAGGGGTACCGGAGAGCAGAGCAGAAGCAGCTGTGTCGCAGGTTGTGGCAGAAGCGCCAGCGGAGAGTAAACCTGAAGAGCCTAAGTTGGATGGAGGCAAGAAGAGTGAGCAGAGCTCGCCAAAGTGCTCGAGCAGTTCAGGCAGTGAAGTGATGGAAACAGAAGCTGATGATTTAAATCTGGCAGCTGCCCAAACAACCAAACTAAGTCCTGAAGATAACAATAAAGGTCACTCTCAGCTTGCAGAAGGGGATGCTTCTCAGGATGGGGAAGCCCATCTAAAGGATGCCCTGGCATTGAAGTCTGAAGTAGATACACCTCAAGACACAACTAAAGAAAAGGAAGGAGAGTGTGAACAAAAAGTTGTGAAGGAGGCAAAGAAAGAGAGAGTTAAAGCAGCAGAACAGATAAAAAGCTACATGAGACCCACAAAGTCAAGAGGGGTGCCAGCTCTGCCAGCCAGGTCTGCTGCACCAGACAGAGAGAAACAAAAGCAGCTGAAACCCACTGGTATGGGCCGGCAGAAGCAAGAAAAAGGTGTGTGTTTGCCGTTTGAGCTAGCAGCAGTAATCCAGACGGCTTGCCTGCAAGACCTTGCTGTTTGTCAGTGCGTTGGCATGAATACATAACCGTTAATCCTATGTGGCACAAGCAAGTGTGGCATGACTGGGGTTTTGGCTGATCTTAAAAGGCTGTTGGTTCTGCTTGCCTGTCTCACAGTGCTAATTCCCCAAATTCAAAGGATTGACAGTTCAATCTAAATACCAGAACTTTTGAT